AATTGGTCTTCGGGGAACAGAACAGAGAAAATAATTGTATTAAGAGGAGTAAAAATGGCCTCCATGTAATTATTGTGCAACCTAAGGTTCAACAAAATTGTATTTTGCCCATTACTAAACATTACTGCCGGGCTGTTGATAAAGGAAATGAGGATGTTTAACTTGATAAGAGACTATTATCTTTGATTTTCAAGTATCACAAACTTTTGCCAGATTAACGATGCTAAAATTGCACGACTTTGCAAAAAAGATTGGAGCTTCTTGGCATGGATTAACATGCTTTAAGAAAAGCATCAAGTGGCAGAAGGGCATTTCCGGTAGTCAACAAAAGAACATTACCTGCTTCAGGATTGGAGTAGCACATTTTTCCCGTAGTAGTTGAGCATCTGAGTACGTTATGCATGGCACAGGTTTGAGCTCTGCATACTGACAAGTAATTGAAAGTAAGTTTTCTGGACTAAATAGATTTCTACACCAGAATCATCAAGGCGACCAACTAAAGATACCGTTGATAGAACATAGACTTTGAAACACGGTTGTTCAATATTAAAAGCCTAGGACTTATAACTCCATACAAGCAAACAAGTCAAGAAAAGGAGAACTAGATAACCTTAAGAGCCATGCCGATGATAGTAAGTGGGAAACCATATGCCAACATCAATGCCGACCACTCAGAACCAGGACGGATGTTAAAATATGCTCCAAATCCATACCTAAAAAGTATAATGAAACAACAGAAGAGTCAAGGTAACCTTAATGCCAACTTCATTGTGTCTAAACTCTAAAGTGAGAAAGCATGAGAGGAATAGTGACCTTCAATAATCTCTTTTCTTTGCTATGACAATCCAAAAGAAGAGGAAAAAAAACAAAAAACCAAAAATTGGAAGGAGTGTGGGGCACTGGAGAAACTCAAATCTATATTTATACTACTTATCATATGTAATTTTGTAGCAAAGTGTTCAGAATATCAGTTTGGAGAATAAAATAGTGGAGGAGTTGGTTGAAAGATGTCGCTCCAACTTGAAGTAATATAGAAGTAGTATCATCTTTAGTTTGTATGAATTGGACTGAAATTCTTTTGCTATTTTCAGGGGGAAAAAACAACTTCTTTAACCCTCTAGAATAAAAAGTAGGCCGACTCAAATGTGACAGGGTAACAATCAAGTGATCTATGCCTCAAGCTGATTATTTAATCAATTGGACCAACTAAATACACAGTCTAATCAGTCTTTCATACATTACAGAGTTCAAAAATAGCCTTAACAGGAGGTGTGCTGGCACAAAAACATCCACCTCGTCAAAGAATCTAACGGACAGCACAAATATAAAAGCCTAGATATGTAAATACAAAAGTAGAGCTCTTGATTTAAGGAAACTGCACAAAGAGGATACTAACAATATATATACTCTTTAATCTAATTCTAAACTACTTAATAGCAGGGGCGGATTTAGGGGACGGAAGGGTGTTCGTCTGAACCCCCTTCGCCGGAAAATTACATTGTGTATATAGGGTTAAATTTGATTTTTATTGATATATATAAGATGTTGCATCCCCTTGACACAAGTCTAAAGCTTAGCTTAGTGGTCAAGAAGGTTCAAACTTTTTATTAAGGGTCCAAGTTCGGTCCTACTTCCCATACACTGCAGTTATTTTTTCTTACTTTCTTTAAGGGCCCAAGTTCGATCCTACTTCCCACACACTGCAGTTATGTTTTCTTTCCATTGCTTGAACAGTACATTACGCAGAAGGTGAGGCAAATAAAACTCCTATTGTTTGCCTTCAACTTCTTTGTCTTATTTAATTATTAAAATAGTTGTTTTTGCAATTATGTTTTGCTCATTTTTTGTTTATTATTTACTATACATGATTTTTTTTTTTTTGCCTTTTCTTCCTTATAATGCCCTTTTTACTAGTATGTTTTTTTTGTAAAAAGAATTACTTCAAAACAAACCAATGTATTAATTTTAATCCAACATAACGTTAGCATGAGTTTCGATGGTAGTTTAGTCCCTATTTAGATTTATTTTTTTTATGAACCCATTTGACATTACATTTGGATTCAACAAATTTCGATGAACTCATTCGACGAAATTTTTACTGTTCACTTCTTAATAATATTGAACCCCCTTGCTCGGGATCCTGGATCCGCCACTGCTTAATAGTTATCCTCCAAAATTGATTTTGAGACATCATCATTTCCTTTCTAATCAAATTAGAGACAACGTTATTTATTAAAAATATCAAAAGAAAGTGAAGAACGAAGCAAACTCAACAACATGAAACCAACAAGAATAACACATACTTATTAAATGTGTTTGTTATTCAAAATCATTGATTGCTAAAATTCCTACCTTCTTTTAACATTTACAATAAGAAGAAAGAGAATTTGATTCTCGTTCATTGCGATTGCCAAGTGATATGCACACATATGCAAACTATAGTTGTTAAAAGAGTTGTTATTGAATGTCAAAGGATTTGCACACAAAAACTTAGGACAGTAGAGAATGCTTGTGTTCCACAGAAGTGTCTCTTTGTCAATTTAGATAACCACGAAGCCACTATTATAAGGTATGATCAATTAAATATACTCACGAGAGAAGTGAAACACCAAGGCCAAGTCCAATAACACCAAAAGAAACCTGCAAATTGAACATCATCGATAATTTCTTCAGGACCAGTAGATTCAAGGGAAGAAGGAGACATTAACAGCCTATAAGCATATTTAGGTGGTATGTCCATTTTAGTCAAAATGGAGTTTCTCGCTAAATCAAATGATAATCCAATATTATAAGACCCAAAAAATTGAGCATACAATGATATGCAGTCTTTCTTAATGATGTCAATGGCGAAAAGAAAACAGAAGTCCAAGTTCAGATAGGCTTTAAGTCAAAAACTAGAACAAAGTTGTGCATTATAGTAAAGAGTAACACATCATGAACAATAGAAGATAATTTATATTGATGTAAAAATAAACATAACAACAGTAATGTAGGTAAAGGAATTGAAGAAACGACAATTCAACTATATGAATATCATACCAAGCTCAAAAGTCAAACTATTAAATTTCTAACACAAGAAAAGTTTTAGATTTCTAAACGGAAAATCTAGAGACTAGCTAGTTCTTTTGCACTACATTTCTAATTCCCTATCGCTACTTTTGGCATATTCCTTCTTAATGTTTTATTAATCAATATGCTCCCTCCATTTCGTATTTCCATTTTATATATGACAGAACAGAATTCAGATGTTAATGTAACTTGCAATATATCTTAGTGGTAGTGGAAGAAAACATTAACAGAATAATTGTTAATTTGATAGAGAAAACATCCTAATACAATATAAAATTTGAATAGTGAATCATTGGAAGTTGTATAGAGTAGTATTATTATCGGAACAGTAACAAACATTTGGAACTTCCCATTATAGAAAGAACATCAGATAAATTGAAATGGGCATTTGCACAAATGGCCTTTTCTGATTCCACTATTTAAATTTAGTCTCCGGTTAACTAAGCGGGCTAAATTTGTCTGAAAAGAAATATATTACAATATCAACAACTATGTTTTGATTCCAAACTAGATGGGTTCGCTATATGAATCTTCAATAATCATTCTGCTCCATTTAGGCCTTTTATGAAAGCCAGGTGCACTAAGCTCCCGCTATACGCGTGGTCCAAGGAAGGGCCGGACCATAAAGGTCTATTGTAAACAGTCTTACCCTGCATTTTTGCAAGAGGTTGCTTCAACGGCTCGAACCCGTAACCTCCTAATCACATTGCAGCTACTTTACCAGTTACGCCAAGGCTCCCCTTCGTGCCGTTATGAAAGCAATTAAAAAGAAATTAACTTCATTTAACTAACATTAATTTTTACACTATCAAAATACCTAATTAAAAGATAACTATAGGTAAACGTCCACAATTAGTAAAATTAAAAATAACAACTGGTTAAAATAGCTTAATAGCTTAAAAGGCTTTTTACAGTTTTAGCATATAAAAGTTAAATTCAAAGAAAAGAAAAGGAAGGTACCTTGGCAAGTGAAAACTCTTCATCGGGGACAATAGATTTGTCGGAGGAAGTAATAGCAGAGGAAGATGGCTGAGAGGAATCAGCAGCTCTAGTAACAACCTTAAGTCGAAGAACAGGAAGATTTTGGGGTTTTGTCAAAATTGAATCTTGATTAGTAAAATTGGTCAATTTGTGTACAAGTACTGATTTCAATGCCAAAGCTCGATTATTTTGGGCATGAATTTTTTGAGTGTAATTACAAACTACAAAACTCAAACTCTGAGAACAGAAGAGGGTTCCTCCAGCTCCCATGGCTGCTACAATTTTGGGTAGAGGATATTATTAGTTGGAGGAGAAGAAGAGGCTGTAACTGGTACTAGAGAAAAAAGCTAGCGCCAAATGTTTGTGACAAGTTTGGATGATGATGATGATGTGGCAATGTTTCTACTTCTAGTTTATTTTTCTCTTTCTTTAAAATATAGTACTATTACTTTTATAACCACACTTTAATTTTTTGTACTAGTTGTAGTAGTATTATGACCACAAAATCTATTAAAAGGCTCTTGTAATTAGGGGGTTGGCTGACGCGAGCAGGTTTAGTCTTTAATTAAGTTCTTCTCTTCTTTAGAAAAAAATGGGACTAATGAATACTTTTGCTAAGATTTGACCATGATCCAAGTCATCCGTTCTCTCTCTTTATGTATAGCTGGAGGTGACGGTTATTCATCCATATTATTCATTAAAAAATAGATTGGAACTTTTTAAAAATGGATCAGATATGAATAAGATTAGGGATGTAAATAGGGCAGGGCAGGGTAGGGCGGGGCAGGGCAAGCCTTGACCCGCCCTACCCTGCCACATTAAGCCTTTTGTCAAAATTTTGCCCTGCCCCCCTGGAGTCCGGAACCTAAATTTTGTGTTTTTGGACTCAAAATACATAAATAGATGGGAAAAAGACTTAGTGACCAAAATATATAAAATGCAGTTTTGAACCACGTTTTAGCTTAACGTCCGTTTGGGACGTTAAGGTAAAACACGTTTCAATACTGCATTTTATTAAAACGCCTTTTGTAAATACATTTTACCTGGAAGCTGGGCCCACCAATAACTCTTCTGCGCTTAACTGACATAACAATAATTCAAATATGTAAAACTCCCTTTTAAAACGCGTTTTACTTCAAAAAATTTGACCCCCCCCCCCCCAGATTGGACATTGCCTTATTTAACGGCGTTAAGGTTTTGCAAAAGTCATTGAGAAACAAGTTTCAACTCCTGATAAATTTTTCTTCTTGTTAAATTCTCAAGCTTTTTTTCATAATGTCTGAAGAGCGAAAAGTAAGGGTTTCATTATATTGGAGGGGGGAGGGGGGGGAGGTTGTGGTGGCGAATAACTCAGTGAGCTATAGTTTATCTCCACAAAGTCATGTTAAGTTTCCACTTACAATGGAGTATGATAGACAGGTATCGTTGTTATGCAATAAAATGAGGTTGAACAAACGTTCGGTGAATCTTAAAATAATCGGAAGATATCCGTATTATGTGACTCCGCAAGGGGTTGCTTGTTACGCTGAGTTTAACATCGAGGATGATGAAACTCTGAGAGATTTCTTGGGGGCTCCGGATGAATGCCGGGAACTTATTTTGATAAAAATGTTGGAAATATACGTGAAGGTTGAAGACGTTCGCAATAATGAGGTTGCGCAAAGCAGGGATAACCCTCAATCATCGGGTGGTTATTTTGGAGCAGTTTTAGCCCAACAAGTTTCGGCTGAAAGAGTTTGGCCGGATCTAAACTTATCTCCACGGGCGAACGAGGAGCGAGGAAATAATTTCTCTCCTACTTTACATAATCTACAAGGCGGCTGGTAAACTTCAATTTTCCTTTCTGTTACGATGTTTATTTTTGTTGTATTGAATTTGCATTAACACTCATATATTCCACATGGGGTATCGTCCAGATATGAATTTTACAAGTTATGAACCCACGCCTAGTTGGAATATGCGTAGTTTTGGTGTGTTGGATCACGGTGGTCCATCCGGGAGTCATCACCAACAGGATAATGTCCATCATGGAATGTCAACACATTACGACTTGTAAGTGAAGTAATATAGCTATATGTAAAGTATTTATCAATTTGAGTAGCTTATTATTTTGTTGTTTGTGCAGTGAAAACGAGCAACTTGATGGTCCTGTCCTCGCTCAGTTGCCCGTAGACGACGTATTTACTCGGAATTTGGCAGATGCGCTGAGTCAGGAAGATAATAGTGATTATGACAATGATGCCGACGAGTCTGGAGATGACACACCCTTCCCTGACGAGGATGATGAGGAGGAGGAAGAGAATGCTGAACCTGAGCTGACGAGGGAGCATGCTCCACCTCCTGTTAGACCAAGAGTGTAAGAGTCCCACGTGCCTTTTCATTCAAGGCATATTCCCTACCTTGATCATTTGCCAAATATGCCGGATGTAGATGCCCTCACAAGGGATCTTGACAAAATTCGGACACCAATGTGGGATGAGTCTAGACCAACGGTGCTGGCAAAGGGCATGCTTTTTCCTGATAAAGCTCGCCTAACCAGGGCTACAAAAATATACAGCGTAAGAGAGTGTCGTGAGATGTTGGTATGGGAGTCAAGTCTGGATGTATACAAGGTTGTTTGCCGTAGATGGTTTACGAGTTGTCATTGGATGCTGCGTGCGAGCAAGAAGGAATCAGGGTTGTGAAAAGTGGGTAAATATATTGGCACCCACAATTGTGAAATAGACACATTCAATGGGAATCACTTCAACTTGGATGTTGACTTGATTTCTCTTCAACTGATTCCACACATTGAAGCGTCCATAAGGTACAAGATCAAAGAGTGTATTACATCCGTCCACCAGGAATATGGGTGTACTATTATCAAAAGAAAGACATATCTCGAGCGCAAACGTGCATTTGAAATTGTTTATGGTGACTGGGATAAGTCATTTGCATCTCTACCCAGGTACATGGCCGCATTGAAACACTTTAACTCCGGGACTGTTGTTGAATGGAAGCTTGAGCAGAGTGCAGGAATACCAAAATATATATTCAGATACGTGTTCTGGGCATTTAAACCAGCAATTGATGGTTTTGTGCACTGCCGTTCGGTAATTTCCATAGACGGTACTCATGTCTATGGAAAGTATGATATTAAGCTGTTGATCGCCGTTGCAGTAGATGCCAATGGACAAATATTTCCGCTAGCTTTTGCCATCTGTGCCAATGAAAGCCAAGAGACGTGGACACTATTTTTGAAACCACTTAAAGCAGCACGTTGTCAAACAATGTTCAGGTATCGTCTAATATCTGATCGGCATGGTGGTATATTAAGTTCTGTAGAGTATTTGCATGAATGGCAGGAACCTTATGCATACCACCGTTACTGTGTGAGGCACCTGAAGGCCAATTTCCAGAAGAAATATCCCAACAAGGACTTGCATGATTTAATGTGGATGGCTGCAACTAATCACAAGGAGTGCAAATTTAGGAGGCGCATAGAATCGATCCGACAGTAAGACGAAAGAGCCTATCATTGGTTGATGCGACATGAGCTTCACAAGTGGACATTGCATGCGGATGGTGGCAAACGATGGGGAACCCTGACTACAAATGTGCCGGAGGTTATTGAAGTCTGCACGTGGATTGCCTGTCACTGCCATGGTGCGGATGTCATTCAAACAGATGGCGAAGAGGTTTATTGAAAGGCATGGGGTGCATCAGAATTGATGGAGAGGGGTGTTGAATTTATGCCAATACCAATGAAAAGATTTGAGAAATACAGGAGGCGAGCACATTGGCATTCATTTTTACAGTATTGCAACGAGCGAAATATTTTTGAAGTTCGCACCGCTATCCATCAACACCGGGGGAATAATATACACACTGTAAATGAAGCTAGCAGGTTGAGTTCATATGGGAAATGGACCATCTACCACATGCCATGAACTGCTTTCAACATACAGGTTTAGGGGCAACCAACTATGTTGATAGGCAATACAGTGTTGCTGCATACTTAAACACATATAGTGGGCAGTTGCAACCAGTGGGTGCTGATCATTATTGGCCGCCCGAACCATTTAAAATGGTGTGTAACAAGGACTATTTGCGTAAGCTACAAGTGCAAAAAAAACGCGTATACGGAACCAAATGGATGTTGGTGATACCGTTTATTCGCATAAATGTGGCATATGCTCACAAACAGGACACGACCGTTGTAAATGTCTTTCAACTAGTTTGGGTGGCGGTGGTAATCCAGCTCCTGGTGCAAGTTCATCTAATGTGCCCAACTATCAAGGATACACGTAGTGTTTTGTTTTCGTAATATTTTTTGTAATAAGTGTATATACTTGTTTATGTTCCAAGATGTATCAAATAAAATTATGTTTCCATTATTGTTAAATCTTATTGATATTTTACATTTTTCAGTTGAGTAAATTAATGAATTTCTCCCTCTCGTTCATGTAATCAAAAATAGTATTGGATTAAAAAATGGAAATTTTTTACGTTCACTTTCGATTTTCACTCTAAAATTATTAGAAAACTACACTGTCAGAGGAGGAAGATGTTTGATAAATAAGTGAATATATATAGCGCGGTTAAATACTACGTTATGTGTGTTGTCTTGTCGATCTGAAAAGCTGCCCGACTGCGAAAAGGCTGTTTTGTATCAGAAAGAATCTTTAACATGCAAATCATAGCGCGGTTAAATACTACGTTTTGTGTGAATATATATAGCACGGTTAAATACTCCATTATGTGTGTTGTCTTGTCGATATGAAAAGCTGTCCGACTGTGAAAAAGTTGTTTTGAATCATAAAGAATCTTTAACATGCGAAGCATAGCGCGGTTAAATACTACATTTTATGTGAATATATATAGCGCGGTTAAATACTACATTATGCGTGTTGCCTTGTCGATCTGAAAAGCTGTCCGACTGCGAAAAAGCTATTTTGTATCTGAAAGAATCTTTAACACGCGAAGCATAGCGCGGTTAAATACTATGTTATGTGTTAGCATAGCGCGGTTAAATACTATGTTATGTATTAGCATAGCGCGATTAAATACTACGTTATGTGTGTTGCCTTACCTATAAATAACGGACACATTCTAGTTATTTTCTGCGATTAACCATAACAAATAGCAAAACTTTCCATAAAAGCAGGTTTTTTTTCGCTTTAACAAATGTCTGAACGCTTGTATGTACCAATGTGCCAATGTGGCAAACGTTGTATGTTGGCGGACTGTTGGGATGATGGTGAAGTTGGGCGCAGATACTGGATGTGTGTGAACAGATTTGGAGGCAACAACGGAAATTTTTGCAATTTTGAGGTATGGTTTGATAAACCCTGTAAGCAGCAATGCTACAAAGAGTCTTTGCAGTATCTTCATGATTTGACCAAAAAACAGTGGGAATATAAACGAGAA